AAAAAAAAAAAAAAGGAAGAAGAAGAAAAAAAGAGACTCTCAGGCTCCACCCTACGCCTGAGTCCTTCCCAGATTCTTAACCCACAGAAACCAAGAGTGATAACCAGACAAACTTCTTTTTTTTTTTTTTTTTTCTTAGATTCAAGAGGTACATGTGAATCCAGAGAGAGAGTCCCAGGGGAGTAACGTTAAACAGAAATGACCTTATTTCATTATTTGTTGACTTGTTTATAATCAGAATGATAATGATTACCGTTCCTTTGTCTCTTCCCACTAGAATGTCTGCTTCATGAGACTTTGTGTGTTTTATTTTCTGTTCTATCTCCACGTTGTACCCATTGTGGTTAGCAAAAACAGACAGATTAAAAATCAAACAAGAAGATAAATAAAAGGCTATATCAATTAAGCAAACAAATAATGAAACACAGGAGCAAGCCTTCCCAAATATTGCTCTCAGAACAGGCACTTTTCTCCAGCCCATTGGAGAAAAGTAGACCCAGGTCCAGCCCTGGGTCCACACCTTCCCTGTCCTGGCTCTGAGCACTCACCTTTGATTTTCGGAATCACAGCTCCAAAGAAGCTCAGCAGAAAGCAGAGGCCTGGAATAGATGGGAAACAGAAGGGAGAGACACGAAACAATTGAGGAATGATTCCAAGAAATGCCCCAAGGGCTGTGTGTCAGTTATCTATCACTGTAACAAATCACAAAAAAGTAATGACTTAAAACAACATTTTTGTTGAGTATGGAGATCTCTCAAAGAACTAAAAATAGGACCGCTGTTGGACCCAGCAATCCCACTACTGGGTATCTACCCAAAGGAAAAGAAATCATTATATCAAAAAGACACCTGCACTCATATGTTTACAGTAGCATTATTCACAATAGGCAAGTCATGGAGCCAACCTAAGTGTCCACCAACAGTTGACTCGATAAAGAAAATATGCCATATATGCACCATGGAATACTATGCAGCCATAAGAAAGAATGAAATCATGCCCTCAGCAGCAACACTGATGGAGCTGGAGGCCATTATCCTAAGTGAACTAACTCAGAAGCAGAAAATCAAATATTGTATGTTCTCACTTATATGTGGGAGCTAAACAACGGGCAGACCTGGACATGAAGATGGAGACAATAGACTCTGGGGACTTCATAATAGCCATGACTTGGCTATCGTGAATAGTGCTGCCATAAACATATGAGTGCAGGTGTCTTTTTGATATAATGATTACTTTTTTTTTTTTTTTTTTATTCAGAGTCTTTTTCTGTCACTCAGGCTGGAGTGCAGTGGCGCAATCTTGGCTCCCAGGTTCAATCGATTCTGCTGCCATAGCCTACCAAGTAGCTTGGATTATAGGTGCTCACTACCACGCCTGGCTAATTTTTGTATTTTTAGTAGAGAGTGGGGTTTCAACATGTTGGCCAGGCTGGTGTTGAACACCTGACTTCAAGTGATCCACCTTGCCTCAGCCTCCCAAAGTGCTGAGATTACAGGCATGAGCCACTGTGCCTAGCCCAGTGATTATTATTATTTTTTTTTTGGGTAGATACCCAGTAGTGGGATTTCTGGGTCCAACAGTAGTTCTATTTTTAGTTCTTTCAGAGATCTCCATACTCAACAAAAATGTTGTTTTAAGCCACTAAAAAAGGGGAGGATGTGGGGTGGTGAGAGTTGAAAAATTACCTATTGGGTACAATGTTTAATATTTGGGTGATGGGTACATCAGAAACCCAGTCTCCACCATTATGCATGTAATATCCATGTAACATTCAAGCACATGTACCTCTTGAATCTAAGAAAAAAATGTTTGTTTTGTTATCACTCTTGGTTTCTGTGGGTCAAGAATCTGGGAAGGGCTCAGCTGGGTGGTTCTAGCTTGATGGTCTCATATGATTGTAGTCAGTCAGTGGATGGGGCTGCAACAGCTGAGAACTAGCTGGGCATTGTTGTCCCTTCACCTGTTGTCTCAGGGTGATGGGCTGCTTTGGGCTTCCTTCTAACATGGAGACCTGAAGCAGGCTGCTTTAATGGCACATCTAAGCTCTAAGCATGAGTGTCCCAGCCAGTGAGGCTGCATCTCCACTTGACACTCATCCCTGAAAGTCACCCAGCTCTACTTTCATCATATTCCCTTGGTTACAAGCAAGTTACAAGCTCATTCAGATTCAAGTGGAGAAGAATCAAGTTCTTCCTCCTTATGAGAGACCAGCAAGATTCTAGAAACACGTTTTGGATGGGGGATATTATTTCCGCCTTTTTGGAAAATAATCTGCTCAGGCTGGCTCTGTTGTGTCTGGTAAAGAGCCCTTTGCTCTTCCCCATGCCTTTCCAACATCAGGAGGTGTCATCAGTCATGTTCCTGCTTCTGCAAAGACCTGAAGATGCTGGACAGATGGACTGCTTTCTTTCTCTTCCTTCCCCAATCTTCCATCACTCTGATCACTTGTTCTCACTGTACCTTCTTTTCATTCTCTTATGGCTTCCGTGGGTCAGGAATCTGTGAAGGGCTCAGTTGGGTGGTCCTGGAATGCTTATTTACAGAATTATTTGCCATTTGTAAGAATGGTATTAAAAATATTTAACAACTGGTATGGTGCAGGAATTGACCAATAAAATAAACCCGGAAGACCCTCTCTGATGCATCAGGCATTAGCCTTTCAGCTGCTCAGTTGGGGTCCCCAAGCAAGGTCTGGACTGGCAGGAGTGTCCCAGGAACTGGTTCTGGGTAATGATTATTTACAAATGGTGTGGAAATTTTTCAGTATAAACAACCATCATAGCCTTCTGGCGTGCACTACTTGAAATTGAGCTCTGGTGACTCATAACCTTATTTGCAACATTGGTTATCCCCTAAGAAGGTGGGTCCTGATAACAAAAGGGTCTTTGCCTAACAAATAGGGTAATGGGTATAGATGAGAGTGAACTATTTTGGTGGAGCTGGGATAAAGTTTGATTCCTGTGCATGATAAAGGACCGGGGTTGGAAGGATTGAGAGAAGATCTGAGGCTGAGAGTCTAGAGTAGGTGGAGAAGGGACACTGTGGCTGCCCAGAGGAGGCTCAGCAGGGAGGAGACGTGGAAGCTGATGGCTAAGAAGCGAGATTTGAAGCAGGTGGGACTTTTTCTGAATAAAATGTAATGTAAGCATCCCTCTATCTTGCCTGTGAATGAGATAGTAAAATCTACCTTGCTCACTGATTTTTCCCCATGTTTAAAGTTATGATAGAATACACATAACATGAAATTTACCATCTTAACCATTTTTAAGTGTACAGTTTAGTGGAATTCAGTATATTCATAATGTTTTGCAACCATCTCCATAACTCTTTTCATTTTTTTTTTTGAAATGGAGTCTCACCCTGTTGCTCAGGCTGGAATGCAATGGTGCGATCTTGGCTCTCTGCAACCTTCACCTCCTGGGTTCAAGCAATTCTCCTGCCTCAGCCTCCTGAGTAGCTGGGATTACAGGCACGTGCCTCCATGCCCAGCTAATTTTTGTATTTTTAGTAGAGATGGGGTTTCACTATGTTGGCCTGGCTGGTTTTGAACTCCTGACCTCGTGATCTGCTCACCTTGGCCTGCCAAAGTGCTGGGATTACAGGTGTGAGGCACTGCACCTGGCCAACTCTTTTCATTTTTTAAAACTAGAACTCTATACCGCTGAGTATATCTTACTCTCTCCTGTCCTGTGAGTTTCCCACTAAAAGGTTTGCTGCCAGACATATTGGATCTCCTTTACATGTTATTTGTTTCTTTTTTTCAAGCTGCTTTTAGGGTCCTCTTTGTCCTTGACCTTTGAGAGTTTAATTATTATGTGCCTTGGAGTCTTCTTATTTTAATTGAATCTCCTTGGTGATCTTGGACCTTCTATATGGATATAATTTATTTCTCTAGATTTGCAAACTTCCCTGCCATTATTTCTTTGAGTAAACCTTCTGTCGACAAAAAGAGTCAAACTCTGCAAAATATTTGAAGAGATTTGTTCTGAGCCAAGTATGAGTGACTAATGGTCCATGACACTGCCCTCAAGAGATCTTGAGAACATGTGCCCAAGGTGGTCAGGGTACAGCTTAGTTTTATACACTTTAGGGAGGCATGAGACATCAATCAAATACATGTAAGATATACATTGGTTCTGTCCAGGAAGGTGGGACAACTGGAAGTGGGGCTTCCAGGTCATAGACAGATTGAAAGATTTTCTGATTGGTAATTGCTGAAAGAGTTGTTATTGTCTAAAGACTTAGGAATGTGGCTGGGTGCGGTGGCTCATGCCTGTAATCCCAGCACTTTGGGAGGCTGAGGCAGGCAGCCTGAGGTCGGGAGTTCGAGACCAGTCTGACCACCATGGAGAAACCCTGTCTCTACTAAAAATACAAAATTAGCTGGGCGTGGTGGCACATGCCTGTAATCCCAGCTTCTTGGGAAGCTGAGGCAGGAAAATGGCTTGAACCTGGGAGGCGGAGGTTGTGGTGAGCTGAGATTGTGCCATTGCACTCCAGCCTGGGCAACAAGAGTGAAACTCCAACTCAGAAAAAAAAAAAAAAAAAAAAAACTTAGGAATGTTTGGGTTAAGATAAAGGGGTCATGGAGACCAAGGTTTTATCACACAGACTGTAAATGTTTCTTTTTTTTTTTTTTTTTTTTTTGAGACAGTCTCACTCTGTCGCCCAGGCTAGAGTGCAGTGGCACGATCTCGGCTCACTGCAAACTCTGCCTCCCAGGTTCACGCCATTCTCTGGCCTCAGCCTCTTGAGTAGCTGGGACTACAGGTGCCCGCCACCAAGCCCAGCTTATTTTTTGTAGTTTTAGTAGAGACAGGGTTTCACCATGTTAGCCCGGATGGTCTCGATCTCCTGACGGCCTCTGAAAGTGCTGGGATTACAGGCATGAGCCACCGCACCTGGCTGATTGTAAATGTTTCTTATCAGACTTAAAGAGTTTGTTGGAATTATCAGTAATTCCAAAAGGGAGGAGTGTACAAAGAGGTATGTTCCACTCCCTGCCATTTCCCATCATGAGCTAGTTTTTCAGCTTAGCTTTAGAATGCCCTTCTTGAGAGGAAGGGTCCATTCAGATGGTCAGGGGGTTTAGAATTCTATTTTTGGTTTACACTTCTTTTTTTTTTTTTTTGAGACAGAGTCTGGCTCTGTCGCCCAGGCTGGAGTGCAGTGGCCGGATCTCAGCTCACTGCAAGCTCCGCCTCCCGAGCTTACACCATTCTCCTACCTCAGCCTCCAGAGCAGCTAGGACTACAGGCACCCGCCACGTCGCCTGGCTAGTTTTTTGTATTTTTTTTAGTAGAGACGGGGTTTCAACGTGTTAGCCAGGATGGTTTCGATCTCCTGACCTCGTGATCCACCCATCTTGGCCTCCCAAAGTGCTGGGATTACAGGCTTGAGCCACCGCGCCCGGCCTGGTTTACACTTCTATCCCTATCTATTTCTTCACTCCCTCTTTTAGATCAATGACTCTTAGATTTACCATTTTGAGGCTATTTTCTATATCTCATAAGCAGTTAAACATTTTTTTCTTTTTTTTTCCCTCTGACTATTTTCGAATAGCCCGACTTTGAGCCAACACATTTTCTTCTGGTTGATCAATTCTTCTGTTGAGACAGTTGATGCATTTTTTAGTTTGTCAATTGCATTTTTCAGCTCTAGGATTTCTGTTTGACTTAAACACTCACTCCTCATTGCTCACTAATGTCTTGGAGAGAAAATTTCCTTTGTGGGGGAATTGCGCAAAGGTCTCAACCCTATTTCCATAATGCCTAAGAGAAAATAGCTCTTACTGCATACTGTGCACTTTACACACATACACTCACTTCAGTTTTGCAACGACTTTAGCAGGAAAGTGCTATTAGCATCATCTCCGGTTTTCAGATTAAGAAATGGAGGCACGGGGAGGGTGAGTAGCTTGCTCCATTCCCTGGGGCTAGTCAGTGGTAGAGCTGAGGTTTAACACGGGTTCTGGGTTCTAGCTGATAACCCATTACACCACATAGCCGCTCCTTCAGAGATCCCACAGGGGACTACACGCATGGAAGTGCTGTTCAGATTGTAAATACTAGGTTGGCATGTTTATTGTGATAGTGACTTGTCCTTTTTCTCCTGGCAGATGCCACTCACCAGATCTGACTGGAGCCTCAAAGTCCAGTACAGAGTGATATGTGACTTGGTCATTTAGGGCAGTGCAGACCAATGGCAGGATTTTGGAGAAGAGGCCCTGGGGGCTAACTGTGTGACTCTTCAAGAGTGGCAGTGGGAGCAATCTAAATCTTTCTGGATCCCTCTCTTGAGTTTCCAATTGCTGCTGTCACAAATTACCATGAATGTAGTGGCTTAAAGCAACACTGATTTATTCTTTTGCAGGTCTGGAGGTCAGAAGTCTTAAATCAGCCTCTATAGGCTAAAATCAACAATGTTAGCAGGGCTGGTTTCTTTTGAAAGCTCTAGGGGAGAATCTGTCTCCTTGCCTTTTCCAGCTTCTAGAAGCTGCCTGCAATTCTTGGCTCATAGACCCTTCCCCCTTCTTTAAATCCAGCAGCATGGGATCTTCTTGTCTTCCTGATCTTCCACCTTCCTCTTAAGAGGACCTTTGTGATTATTATATTAGGCCCCCTGGAAAATTCAGGGTACTACCCCCATATTAAGATTCTTAGCTTAATCAACATTTGCAAAGTTTCTTTTACCGTGTAAGGTAACATATTAACAGGTTCCAGGGATTAGGATGTGGATGTCTTTGGGGGGACTGTTATTTTTCTTCCCATAATTCTCACTCTTCCCCTAAGAAGACACCAGGTCCGATTTGTTATCAGTTACTTATGCAATTGCATTCATAGAACATTTTGAATATTCTCAGCTGGGCTTAACATCAGGCTGATGTTTCCTTTAAAGTCCCCTTCCTCCTACATTTTTTATTTGTATTTTTATTTTTTTGAGGCAGGTTCTCTTTCTGTTGCCCCAGTTGGAGTGGTGCAATCATAGCTCACTATAGCCTTGCACTCCTGGGCTACATGCATGAGATACCACTCGTGGCTAATTAAAAGTTTTTTTTTGGTAGAGATTAGTCTTTAGTTTGGTAGAGATTAGTCTTTAGTCTAACCAGCAAATTACTCACTAATTTGGTCATGTGTCTTAAGTTAGGGTTTCTGAAGAGTCATTGATGTGTCAGAATCCCAGAGTTCTAAGAAACTTTAGAAATCATCCACTGACTCATTTTGCAGATGAGGAAACGGGCGCCCTGGGGTTAAGTGGCTGGCACACTAGTTGGGCAAATTTGGGTAAGTTGTTTAACCTCACTAAGTTTCCTTATGTGAAATAGGGTGGCAGTATGACCTACTTTGTGGGGTTTTGGAGATGACCCAAATGAGGGACTGCGTGGAGCACAATGTCAGGCAGAAAGTCCTCCACCGATGCTGGCTGCCTCTGTCACCATTTGATTTCCTCCTTTCCCATTTGGATGCTTTTTCTTTCTTTCTTGTTGCCTAATTGCTCTGGCTTGCTGCCTATATTATCATTTGAGCTCTGTTGCTCAGGCTGGAGTGCAGTGATGCAATCACAGTTCACTGTAACCTTGAACTCTTGAGCTCAAGCAATCCTCCCACCTCAGCCTCCAGGGTAGCTGGGACTACAGGTGTGTGCCACCAGGCCTGGCTAATTTTTTTTTTTTTTTTAGTATTTCGTGGAGACAGAGTCTTGCTATGTTGCTCAGATTGGTCTCGAACTCCTGGCTCCAGCAATCTTCCTGCCTTGGCCTGCCAAAGCTCTGGGATTATAGGTATGAGCCACTATGCCCAACCCTAGAATCCTAATTCTTGACCCAATGCTCATATCTTCACCCTTGCCTGTACCATCTAGTGATATGGGCTAAAAGTTCCTGGATAACGGAAATTCACTGATAATCCACCTCAGAAGTGTCGAGGACTCTGTCTCCAGTTGCAACAAGGCAGGCTTCATTCACGTTTGATTCCACATATACTGAAACACCTCTTATATATAAGATGCTCTGCTAGGGGTTGCAAAGGTGAGGGAGACACGGCATTAGGATTTAAATGTAGCTTGTATTATTTTGATCAAATTTATGGCCTATCAACTGCCTCTGCAGCAGAATAGCTGTGAGGCTTTGAGCAATTCACACAACCTCTCTATGATGCAATGTATTATCTGTAATGTGGAGATGCTGTGTGACAATGTAAAGCAATTTAAGCCTAATGTCAGGCTAAAGTAGCTGCTTAATAAATACAAGCTTTGATTGATATTGGGACTGTCCATATTGTTAATTCATCTGGAGCTGGAAAGATGGATGGGATTTCATCTGTACAGAGATGGTGGTTGAAGCCATGGAATTATGAGATTCCTATAGGGAGAGGGAGTGGAAAAACAGAAGACTCCCCAGGAAGGATCCTGTGGGAGGAGCATTATAGCAAAGATCCGGAGACAGACGGTTTGGGTTCAAATCCCAGTTATTTACTAGCTGTGTGATGTTGGACAAATAACATAACCTCTCTGTGTCCCGGTTTTCTCATCTGTAAGATGAGGATACCCCATGAGCGTACTGATGATGCAACAGATTAGTACATGTAAGATGCATAGTGAGTTTTCAAAAATGTTGATTATTATTATTTTGTTTGTATAAATTTATGAGATACAAGTGTAATTTTGTTGCATGCATCGATCGCGCAGTGGTGAAGTCAAGACTTTTAGAGTAGCCACCATCCAAATGATGCACATTATACCCATTAGGTAACTTCTCATTTTCCACTCTCCTTCTACTCCCTCTGCCTTCCCAGTCTTCATCGTCTTATCATTCTACTCTCTCTGTCCATGTGTCCACATTATTTAGCTCCCACTGATAAACGAGAACATGAGGCATTTGTCTTTTGGTGTCTGAGCTATTTCACTTAATATAATGACCTCTAAGATTAATAATAAAATTATCATTTATTTTCTTGTCACAGGAAACTGATAAAGGAGGGAGAAGAAAGAATAGCAAGAGAAAAAGGAAAAAAAGTCAGGGCAGGGCTAGGTTGCAGAAGTTATCAAGAAGGAGAGGACATCAGTTAGAAAACAAAACTCGCCAAGAGGAAGATGAACAACCTATTAGAGGCTGGGTGCGGTGGCTCATGCCTGTAATCCTAGCAGGCCGAGGCAGGTGGATCACCTGAGGTCAGGAGTTTGAAACCAGCCAGGGCAACATGGTGAAACCCCGTCTCTACTAAAAATACAAAAATTAGCCAGGTGTGGTGATGTGTGCCTGGAATCCCAGCTACTCAGGAGGCTGAGGCAGGAGAATCACTTGAACCCAGGAGGCAGAGGTTGCAGTGAGCCAAGATCGTGTCACTGTGCCCCAGCCTGGGTGACAGCAAGATTCCATCTCAAAAAACAAAACAAAACAAACAAACAAAACAAACAAAAAACCAAGCTACCAGATTGGGTAAGGAACATTTTAGGGATATTTGAGAGCATACTTTGAATAGGGTAGTCAGGAAGAAAACTATACTCCAAAGGGAAAAGGTGAGAATGTTCAGAGCAGAAGAAAGAGGAGGAGAAAATAACCAATTGTTGAACAAAGTGGCCCCTGACTAGGGGATAGGTTAAGTCTCAGTCATTGCTACAGTCACACATACCTGGAAGAAGGGATGACCCCTGCATTCCTGTGGTACAGGTATCCCACGCCAGCCAGCCCTGGAAGCTCCCTACTGTGCTGTAAGCCAACCACTTTTCCTTGCTGAAGAAATCTCATGAGGATTGATGTATGTATCTCAGGTCAGCTGACTCATGAAATTACTATCAGAAAAGCGAACTGCTTCCCCTCTTTCGCCATCAGACTCATGGTTCTGCTTTTCGTTTATTTGCTGTACCTTTTCTGCTTAGCATATTGTTGATCACCTTTAGGATGATTGAGTTGGTAAACCCTAACAAAGAAATGCCCTGTAAGTTACATCACATTGCCTGAGGATGAGGAAGTGCCTTTGGGACCAAAATAAATCTTAAATAACCCTGTGGTTTTGAGCTGGGTAAACCAGATTTTAGGGCATCCGTGTTGGTATCTGAAGTTTCCAGAGGAGTCATTTTCACATATCTTTCTCTTCCCCCAGTAGATGATACTTACTGGTTATGATTGCTGAGCCAGAAGAAGTTAAGAGTCCCAAAGTCTCATAGAAGGTAATACATTATTTGGTTATTTGGACCAACCCTAACCAGTCACAGGATTTGGGAGAAAAGGTCTCTAAATCTATCCTTCCTCCAACAAATATTTATTTGTTTATTTGGGTCTTGCTCTATTACCCAGGCTAGAGTGCTGTGGCACAATCATAGCTCACTACAACCTCAAACTCCTGGGCTCCAGCGATCCTCCCACCTCAGTCCTCTGAATTGTTAGGACTACAGGTGCATGCCACCACGCCTGACTAATTTTTTTTTTTAGTTTTATTATTTTTTTTGAAGAGAGACAGGGTCTCACTTTGTAGCCCAGGCTTGTCTTGAACTCCTGGGCTTAAGCAATCCTGAACTCCTGGACTTAAGCAATCCTGCCTTAGCCTCCCAGTGCTGGGATTACAGGTGTGAGCCACGGCACCTGGCCTCCCCTGCTGAAAACTCTTCTAAAGTTCTCCATTAGACTTAAAACACCAGACTTCCTACTAAAGCAGTGTCATTGTCTGGGGTTCATCCTCTCATGTCAAGGAAATAAAGGATGTGGACGCACAAGAAATGAATTTAAGGCCGAGCACAGTGGCTCACCCCTGTAATCCCAGCATTTTGAGAGGCTGAGATGGGTGGATCACCTGAGGTCAGGAGTTCGAGACCATCCTGGCCAACATGGTGAAACCCTGTCTGTACTAAAAATACAAAAATTAGCTGGGCATGGTGGTGTATGCCTGTGATCCCAGCTATTCAGAAGGCTGAGGCAAGAGAATTGTTTGAACCCGAGAGGCAGAGGTTGCAGTGAACGAAGATTGTGCCACTGCATTCCAGCGTGGGTGACAAGAGTGAGACTTCATCTTAAAAAAAAAAAAAAAAAGTTTAGGAGCAGAAGTTTAATAGGCAAGAGAAGAGAAAAAAGAGAAAAGCTCTATCCTGCAGAGAGAGAGGGGCTCCAAGCGGGTCTTCCGGTCTCGTGGTGAGATACATGGGGTTTTACAGCTGAGCTTGTGGAGGAGCTGTCTGATTGACATAGGGCCCGAGAGATTGGTCGGACTGGCTGTGCTGTTTGCATAGCACACAAAGAAGCTGGCCGCCCCATCCTCATCTTTTATTATGCAGATGGAGTCTCTACCTGGCTGGCACCATGTTGCCTGCTTTTATACTGCACACATGGTGATAAAGAAAAGGGAAGAGGGAACCTCCATGTTGTACCTGCCTGGCCTCCAAGGAGCCTTTTCCTATTGGCACAGCTGCTGCATTGACCTTCGCAAACTTCCAGCTTGCTTATTTATGTTTGTAGCCCGATTCTACAGACTGCTGTTTGTTGTGGTGGTGATGATGATGATGATGGTGATAATGGTTGCGGTGGTGATGGTGATGGTGGTAATCATAATCGTGGCGGTAGTGATGGTGGAGGTATAGGTGGTGGTGGTGACGATGAAGGAAGAGATGATGATGATGGTGATGATGGTTGCGATGATGGTGAAGGTGATGAAAGTGATGGCGATGGTAGTAGCGATGGTGGCGGTTACATTATGGTGATATTTTCAGAGATGGTGATGATGGTGATTGAAGGTGACAGTTGCAGTGAAGGTGATTGTTGTGGTGATGGTGATGGTGATGAAGGCTGTGATAGCAGTGGTGATTGATGATGGGAGTGAAAATAGCAAAGGTGGTGGTTATATTGGTCGGGGAGGTAAAGATGAAAAGAAATAATTTTGGGGCTGCTTTTTTTTTTTTAACAGGGAAGCCTTACTGAGGACTTTCTTAGTCTCACCAGTTGCCTAAATAATGTCTTTTTAGCTCCTGTATCACTACTATGGCCTGTCAGCCCCTCCATGGTTTTTCCTCAACCACATCTTCAGCCTGATTTACTATGACTCTCCCTTGTGCTTCTTGTACATGGGACACAGAGATCTCTTAATTTCTTGAACACATCAAGTTTTTTCCTACCCCAGGGCCTTTGCATGTGCTGTTGATGCTTTCTAGAATGCTTTCCACCTTAATATTCACATTTGTCTCCTCTAGAGTCCCCCAGATTTTGACTTTTTCTCTGTCCCAACTTAGAAATCCAGAGTGCCTTGACTGCTCTGTGACATCACCAGCTGTATGTTTTACCCTGCAGGCTCAAACCAAGCTGAGATCTTGAACATCTCCAGGCACTGGTAAAGCTGTTTAGGTTGTTTATCAAAACACTGCAAGAAGGCTGGGCATGGTGGCTCATGCCTTTAATCCCAGCACTTTGGGAGGTTGAAGTGGGTAGATCACCTGAGGTCAGGAGTTTGAGACCAGCCTGGCCAACATGGTGAAACCCTGTCTCTACTAAAAATACAAAAGTTAGGCGGGCGTGGTGGCATGTGAGGTTGCAGTGAGCTGAGATCGTGCCATTGCACTCCAGCCTGGGCAAAAAGAGTGAAGCTCCATCTCAAAACAAAAACAAAAGAAACAAAAATGAACAAACAAGCAAACAAACCAAAAAACCACGGCAAGGAAGTAGCCCTGGTGGCAACTGAAGACACGGTCATGAATTAAATCATTTAGGGAGAGATTATAGAGTGGAAAAAGAACCATGAGTAACTCATTTAAAAACTCAGGGAATGTCAATTTGTGCAAAGGCAATAGAAAAGAAATAAAAATAAAATAAAGGAATGGAGGTGTAGCTATTAGAGGAGACAGGACAAGAATGGCCAGAGAGATAGGAGGTGAAGGTGGGAAATGAATGGAGTATGGTATTATGGAGGTAAAGGAAAGAGATCACACTGAATTAAGACTGAAAAATATCCACAGGACAGAGCTGCAAGGAGGTTGTTTGTATTATTTTTTTTGAGAGGGCGTCTGACTCTGTCACCCAGGCTGGAGTGCAGTGGTGCGATCTCAGCTCATTGCAAGCTCCGCCTTCCGGGTTCACATCATTCTCCCGCCTCAGCCTCCCGAGTAGCTGGGACTACAGGTGCCTGCCCCCATGCCGTGCTAATTTTGTTTGTTTGTTTGTTTATTTAGTACAGACGGGGTTTCACCGTGTTAGCCAGGATGGTCTCGATCTCCTGACCTCATGATCCGTCTGCCTCGGCCTCCCAAAGTGCTGGGATTACAGGTGTGAGCCACCACGTCTGGCCTGGTTGTTTGTATTCTTAGCAAGAACAATTACGGTAGTGAAGGTGCTGGTGGTGGCGATGATGATGATGTTGACGATAGTGGTTGTGGTAGTGGTTGCTATGTATAAAGTTTCGGTGCCACGAAAGAAATGGCACTCAAATATAAAATTTTCCTTTTAATTCTCAGCAAGGCAAATTACTTCTACATAGAAGGGTGCGCCCTTACAGATGGAACAATGGCGAGCGGACATTTGGCCCAGGGAGGGGAAGGGGTTCTTATCTCTGACACACGTGGCCCCTGCTGCTGTGTTGTTCCCCTGTTGGCTAGGATTAGACCGCACAGGCTAAACTAATTCCGATTGGCTAATTTAAAGAGAATGACGGGGTGAGAGGTTTGGCGGGAGTCAGGGCAGAGCAGGTTGCAGGTAATCGGAATGAGTTAGGGTGGAGCAGGTGATCAGAATGCGTTAGGGTGGAGTAGGTGATTCGAATGAGTCAGGGTGGAGCAGGTGATCGAAAAAGGTTGCTTTACAAGGAAGTTAAATTTAAAAGTAGAAGGCAAAGAATTGAATGTACTGACATATTAATTCTTTGAGAAGAAATTTAGAACTCATATCTAATATGGCTATGATGATGATGATGATGATAATGGTTGTGGTGGTGATGATGATGGTGATAAAACGGTTGTAGTGGTGACGGTGGTAATCATGGTAGTGGCAGTAGCGATGGTGGTGGTAAAGGTCATGGTGGTGATGATGATGGAAGTGATGGTGGTGATGATGATGGTTGCGATGGTGCTGAAGGTGACGAAAGTGACGGTGATGGTAGTAGCGATAGTGGTGGTAACATGATGGTGATGTTTTCAGAGATGGTGGTGATGATAGTGATTGATGGTGACAGTTGTACCGAAGGTAATTGTTGTGAGGGTGATGAAGTCTGTGATAGCAGTGGTGATGATGACGGGAGTGAAAATAGTGAAGGGGGTGGTTATGTTGATAGAGGAGGTGAAGATGGTGGTGATGCCAATAATGATAGGGAAGGTGGTGGAGGTTGTGGTTATAATGGTGTAAGCCCAAAGTGGATTGAGGAAAAAGCACGAGGTGAAGAAGTGGAGACAGCAAGTGAAGTCACCTGTAAAGACAGTTGGAGAAAACAGTGTGCGAAAGCAAGATGAACAAGAGACTTCCTTGGGTGTTTGGAGCATGGTGGAATTAACTGGCTATTGGGATTGTCAAGGCCGTGAACGTACATAGTAGGTTCGTTGGGCTCTCAACATCCCACTGGCCCAGCCTGCATGCAGTGAGGTTTCCTGATCTTTCTCCCTAGTGATCTTCTAGGGGTGGGGTTGTAGAGGCAAGAGTTGATCAAGAGAGACAAGTGGTACTACCTAATGCTCAGGCCAAAGTGGTTGACATAGTTTGGACATTGTTCCCTCTAAATCTCATCTTGAAATGTAATCCCTGGTGTTGGAGGTGGGGCC